ATGCGGAAGAGGGTTCTCGCGGCTGCTCTCTTCTCCCGCTGCCGCCTGTGCCAGGCGGGCTCGCCCTCGCGGGGCGTGGCGGCGACAGCCGCCGCGGCTGCGGCGCCGATGGCGCGCTGCGCGCGGCCACGAGCGGCGGGGGCGACCGACGAGACGACGGCCCCGCCCCTCCTCAGCCCGTGGCTTCCTCCTCCTCCTCCTCCTCCTCCTCCTCCTCCTACTGTGTCATCCCTTTCCCGCGTCTCCTGTTTCACTCGTCTCTTCCTTCGTTGCTCCCCCAGTTCCTTCCCTGCCGCTACTCAGCTGCGCCTCTGGGGGGGGGGGGGCAGCGGCGGGTCGTGCCGCCCAGACCCAGATGAGACCTCGCCTTCTACTGAGTGCTACGAGACGTGGAGCTGTCGCCACCGTCCTGCGCCCCCGGGGGGGTCCCGCGAAGCGTGTCGCGAAGTGTATCGTTATTCTCTTGCGCCCCACGGTCCAGAGGAGTGCGGTCCTGCGCAGGGCCAGGTGAGATCTCGCCCTTCGTGCCGCCACGCGCGCAAGGTGTCACGACTTTCCCGCGCGCTGTTGGGGGTCCTGCCGAGCTGCCGAGGGGGCTCGCCTTCCACGGGGGTGCTGCGAGTCGCGCGCGCGCGCGCAACGGTCGTCATTTCCCTGCGCCGCCGGGTAGGTCCAGCGAAATGCAGGACCAGTAATTATTGCGAGAACCATCTGGCACCTCGCTTTCCGTAGGTGCTGCCTTGCGCACAATTGTCGCCGCGCCCCCGCGCCCCTGGGGGTCCAGCGCACCGCGGTCTCACGCAGGACCAAATGAGACCTCTCCCTCCGTGGGTGCTGCCAGGTACGTATTGGTTGCCACTTTGCTGCGCTCCCCGGTGTTCCAGCGGATAGCAGTCTTACGCAGATCCATTTGATCCACTGAGATCCACAGGGTGAGGCGTCGCCACTGCACAATGGCCTCCCACCTCCAAGCTTCCAGCCAGCTCCAGGGTCCTTGCCGCACTTCTGATAAGCAGAGCCGTGGGCGGCGGGACTACCAGCAGAGCGAAGACGGGTACCTTGGGCCTCAAAGCCCATACCATGACCAGCATGACGGATACCATGCGTTGCACGATCGGTACCGTGAGCAGCAGGGCGGGTGCCACAACCACATGCAACACGACGGATTTCTTGAGCAGCGCGACGGGCACCATGAGCAGCATGCCGGGTATTATGAGCAGCACGGCGGGTACAATGACGAGCATGACGGATCTTGTGCGCTGTTCGACGAGGACCGTGATCACCACGACGAGTATCATGAGCAGCACGATTGGTTCAATGAGCAGCACGACGGGTACCTTTGGGAGGAGTGAGCCAGTGAGCGTTGTCTGCAAGATGTCCTCTTCCCCTCGTCTTCCTTCCTTCTCCCTGCTCACCTCCCTTCTCTCGGTGATCTGCATGGTTTCTTCGCTAATTGGTGGGGAAGGGCCAACCGTTTGCATCGGCAGAGCCCACCCTCGGCTGCCTACGGCCGACCCAAGCCTCTTCGCCAGGATTGCCCCTCGCCTTCCTGGATGGTCCGTCCGTGGCATTTTATTGCCACGCAGTGACAGTACATAGATGTGTGTTTGTGTCTGCGTGCGTGCGTGCGTGTGCGTGCGCGTGCGCGTGCGCGTGCGCGTGCGCGTGCGCGTGCGCGTGCGCGTGCGCGTGCGCGTGCGCGTGCGCGTGCGCGTGCGCGTGCGCGTGCGCGTGCGCGTGCGCGTGCGCGTGCGCGTGCGCGTGCGCGTGCGCGTGCGCGTGCGTGTGCGTGTGCGTGTGCGTGTGCGTGTGCGTGTGCGTGTGCGTGCGTGCGTGCGTGCGTGCGTGCGCGCGCGCGCGTGCGTGCGTGCGTGCGTGCGTGCGTGCGTGCGTGCGTGCGTGCGTGCGTGCGTGCGTGCGCGTGCGTGCGTGCGTGCGTGCGTGCGTGCGTGCGTGCGTGCGTGCGTGCGTGCGTGCGTGCGTGCGTGCGTGCGTGCGTGCGTGCGTGCGTGCGTGCGTGCGTGCGTGCATGCGGGCGTGCGCGCGTGCGCGTGTGTGCGTGTGTGCGTGTGTGCGTGTGTGTGTGTGCGTGTGTGTGTGTGTGTTCGTTCGTTCGTTCCCCCGCCTACTGCGGGACGCCGTATCTTCACACCGTGTCAACCCAAACCGCGCGCCAAGGCAAACGATGCAGGCGGCGGTGGGTGAGGGGGAAGTACGTGGGTGGGGCACGGTCCGCTGTGCAGCCACCCAACACCAAAATACGCACCCCGCACGCCGCTCTTGAAAGCACCCAACCGCCAGGACCGGCCCCTTCCCCACACTGGTGGAGCCAACCTACGCACAAACACACGCGACGCAAGACAACCACGGAGCTGCAGCCGGCGCTGCATGCAACCCGTGCTGTGTGCGCGCTGTCTCGGCGTGGAAAGCTGTCAGTCGGTTCCGGGTGGCGTGATGGGGCGCACCTGCACCGCGCGACTCCGCACAAGGCTCACGGGAGCATGTGGGAACGCGGGTGGGTGAGAGCGCGTGTTTGAGCCACTTTGAGCCACCCATGTGTGTGTGTGCGTGTGTGTGCGCAGCCAAGCCATCGCTGCACCAGGAGGCACCCATGGATACGAATTCGCAGTAAAACGTATCATTAACCTCGGACCTGTGTTCCCGTGCGGGGTCCCGGCCGAGATACGCCAAAACTTCACTACCCAATTCGGGCAGCCACGGAGAGAGGAAGAGGAGGAGGGAAGAGGAGAGGGCAGGAGGGGGCAGTGGGGCACGCGGTGGCAGCAGCGCAATGCTGCACGCTCCGCCGATGCCGCAAAAAAAACGAATCCGTCGTAACGCCAGCCGGCCCTGGCGACGCGACGGGAGACACCGGCGTCGTCGTAACGCCCGCTCGCGGCGAGACGTCAGCAGGGGTACGCCAAAATTGTACTGCCCAATCCAGGCAGCCATGGAGGGAGGCAGAGGGGGAGGAAGAGGGAGGGCAAGGGGCAAGGGGAGAGAGAAGAAAGGGAGAGGGGAGGACCACGGCGCCACGCCGCACCGCGCAGCGCATCACAGCCAGCGACAGGTGCGTGCGTGTGGGCAGGCGTGCGCGGGACTGTTTCTTCCACAATGCCGACATGGAAGCTGCACGGGCTCAGCCAAACGGTGGGCGACGGCACTGGCTGGGCGCACGAACGCCTACAGAAAAAGACATCGAGTACCAGGAAGCAGGCGGGAGGGGGAAGGAGGGGAGAGAGGCAGCGTGACGCAGGCTAAGGATGCTAAGGCGCACGCGATCAGACAGCAGCCTCTGGAGGAGGCTTAGGGAGTCACGAAGCCACGCTGCCGCGAGGGAGGGGTCCACACGGGCGCGCGCAGTAAACACCTGGCAGAGCCGTAGCAGCAGCGCGTGCTGCTTGACCGGGAGGGTTGCCACGCCACGGACACCGGGCTCCATGGCGGCAGGGTTCAGGAGAACGGCGGATGACACGACCGCGACGGAGGACGACGGGAGCGACACCTCGGGGGCCGGGGCAAGTGCTCCAGGCACGGAGCCGATGGCTCCAGATGCCGCACCGCTACACATCACAGCGCAGCACAGCGCAGCGAGGCCGCGTGTGTGCGCGTGTGTGTGGCAGCACATCACAGCACAACACAGCACAACACAGCGCAACACAGCACACACAACACATCACATCACAGCACATCACAGCACATCACAGCACACGCCGCTTGGCGTGTGTGTGTGTGTGTGCGCGCGTGTGCGCGTGTGCGCGTGTGCGTGTGTGCGTGTGTGTGTGTGTGCGCGCGTGCGCGCGCGTGCGTGCGTGCGTGCGTGCGTGCGTGCGTGCATGCGTGTGTGCGTGCGTGCGCGCGTGCGCGTGCGCGTGCGTGTGCGTGTGCGTGTGCGTGTGCGTGTGCGTGTGCGTGTGCGTGTGCGTGTGCGTGTGGGTGTGGGTGTGGGTGTGGGTGTGGGCGTGGGTGTCGGTGTGGGTGTGGGTGTGGGTGTGGGTGCGGGTGTGGGTGTGGGTGTGGGTGCGTGTGTGTGTGCGTTTGTGTGTGTGTGCGCGTGTGTGTGTGTGCGCGTGTGCGTGTGTGTGTGTGCGTCTGTGTGTGTGGGTGTGTGTGGTTGTGTGTGGTTGCGTGTGCCTGTGTGTGGGAGAGAGTGTGTGTGTGGGTGTGCTTGTGTGTGTTTGTGTGTGTGTGTCTGTGTGTACGTATGTGTGTGCGTGTGTGAATGTGTGTGCGCGTGTGTGTGTGCGTTTGTGTGTGTGCGTGTGTGTGTGTGGTTGAGTGCGTGTGTGTGTGGTTGTGTGCCTGCGTGTGTGCGAGAGAGTGTGTGTGTGTGAGTGTGTGTGTATGTGTGTATATGTGCGTGTGCGTGTGCGTGTGCATTGGCGTGTGTGTGTGTGTTTGTGTGGTTGTGTGTGTGTGTGTCACTTGGTGTGTGTCACTTGTCTGGGTTACTGTGTCCTGTGCTTTCGCTGTGTTCCTCCTCTCTCGCTGCATCTCTCACTCCATTCCCACTAATCCTCTGCAAGGCTCGTGTGGGCCCTGGTGCGCACGCCGTTATTAGAGGGTCTCCGCACACACTAGCTCTTGCCCGGTTTCGCTTCTTTGCCCTGCACCTTCCCCGCTTAATTACTGATTGGGACGTCGCGTGCCTTGCGGTTTCGCGCCTTTTTGTTTGTCGGCTCGCTTCGCTTTGCTTTTCCAGCGGCATAAGGCCATGACTTTCACTTAGAGGCAGCATGCGGTGTCGAGAGTCCTGACGCCCACCATCCGCTCCATCTCACGCCCCTGCGCCATGGCTGCGGTGATGTGCGGCACTGGAAGATGGTGGCATCAGGTTGGCGGTGCGCACGCTGATGATGTAAACCACACACCTCGCCTCTCATCATTACTCCATCAGCCTTCTCCCTCTTCCTCTCCCTCCCTCTCTTCTCCTCCCCCCCCCCATCATTGTCGTCCTGCCCCCGCCCCCATCCCCACGCCTGGCCCGCCCCCATGCCCAGGGTCGGCCGGAAGACGGGCGGAGCGGACAGGAGGTCGTCCCAGACGGTCCTTCGCCGCACCCCCCGCTCCGCGCGAGGAAGAGGACGAGGAGGGACAGAAAAGGAGGCGGAAGGGAGGAGGAGGATGGGGATGAGGAGGGAGGAGGACGCCAGAAGCAGGAGGAGGAGACAGAGGGCACAGGAGGTCCGTCGCCATTGTTTGCTCAAGGCTAAAACGCTGTGAAAGGCTGTAGACACCCGAGAATCAGTGAATAGTTTTGGTCTCTTCTCCTACAGGTGACCCGAGCCATCTTCTGTGGCCTCAGTGTTCTGTTCTGGCGTGCTGTGTCTGGGCAGAGCTTCTCACCGTGTCGGCGGCTGTCGGCGCTTCGCTTGGGGGTAAGCGCTCTGGTCATCAGCTTGGAAGGAACAACTCAAACGAGGCCCCACCAGCGCAAGAAGCATCGATTCAACACGAACGTGGGCGGGACGGACGGCATCGAAACTGCACTTGCTGATGAAGAATGTTACCCAACTCTTGACGGTGCTCATTCCCCTGCCGAGCCTGCCACTCCCATTGGGCAGCCTGCCCCTGGATCCCATGGCAGCAGGGCGCATGCGAACGGAGGAGGAGGCCGTGCTGGCACTGGTGGCTCCACTCCACAGCACTTCAGACTCACGGCCATGGTCACGTCGCCCTCCGAGGCTACAGGACCAGCGGCAGGTGCGATCATCGGTGACGGCCTGCCTGCCATGAGAAGCAAGGGACTTTATGGACGACCACGTGCTCCTGCTCCTGCAGATGGCGACGGCGTCGTCGAGGTGGAGCGACGCGCCTACGTGGACAGGACGCGCACGGACGTCATGGGCAGCATCCAGGCGGCGCAGGCCACTGCGCGAGCATCAACAAGGCGGTGGAAAAGAGGATGGCCCAGGCGGCGGCCGCGGTGCGGATCCACGACAATCGCATTGACAAGTTGGGGGGTGAGGTGCAGGAGCTTCGTGATCTTCTTGGGTTCATGCGTTGGGAAGAACCAGCTCCTCGCCCCCAGGGTAGCGAATTCGACGGGGAGGCTGACCCCGCGGTCATCGCGGTCAGGACGGCGGCCCCGCCACCCAAGCAAACGGCCGGGAATACCCTCCAGCCGTGGCTCACGGACGCGAACATCCAGGCCAATGAGTTCGAGATCGAGGGCGATGCAGTGGCGAACACATTTCAGATCCAGATTTGGGGTCAGCGGGGCTACGCGGCGCGGAAGGTCTCTCAGGCCATCGGCGCGCTCAGGCCCCCTGGTCGTGGCCCACGATGGAGGCAGTTCTCTCCGGGCCCACCTGCGGGCGGGCCGCCGTCGGATATCAATGTCGGGCCCGATAAGAGCCCGAAGATGGTCGCACGTGAGCTCGGCCGCAAGAAGGCGGTTCGAAAGTTGGCGGGGCGCCATCACGCCCAACGCTTCTTCTAGGAGAAGGACAGAGCGCCATCAGCTCGTCGTGGAAGGATGTGGTGCGTGTTTTTTTTGTCTCTCTCTCTCTCTCTCATTTCTCTTCTCTCTCTCTCTCTCTCGCCCTTGGGCTCAGCGCCGACGATCCACTGCTGCGATCGCTATATGAGTGACCTCAACATCGACGCTGCCCTGGCCAGGCGCTCTGCGCGCGCTCTCTTCGAGGATCAGAAGGACACCGAGCGGTGTCTTCAGCTAGCTGCTCCAGGCCTGGCAGCACGCCCTCCCCCCCCCTCTCGAGCTGCGATCTCCATTGCTTCCTGGAGCGCCAGAGCGCTGCTACACCACGACCTGACGCTGTGGGATAACAAGACCAGGTACTTCGGGACCCTGCCCATCCCCCGACACCACTCGCGGGATCCAAGAATGCCGCGGGACTCTTGCAGAAGCGGAGGACGCGTTGTACCAGTTCCATAAGACCGCCAGCATGGTTCATTAGAGTGAGGGGGCCGAGCGGTCATTCACTGTCCCTGGGTGCGTGGCTGAAGTGGAATTCCGCGGTGCGGATTCTCGTTGGTGTTGTTGTTGTTGTTGTTGTATTTGTTGTTGTTGTTGCTGTTGTTGCTGTTGTTGCTGTTGTTGCTGTTGTTGCTGTTGTTGCTGTTGTTGCTGTTGTTTGTTGTTGTTGCTGTTGTTGTTGTTGTTGTTGTTGTTGTTGTTGTTGTTGTTGTTGTTGTTGTTGTTGTTGTTTGTTGTTTGTTGTTTGTTGTTTGTTGTTTGTTGTTTGTTGTTTGTTGTTTTGTTGTTTGTTGTTTGTTGTTTGTTGTTTGTTGTTTGTTGGTTGTTGTTGTTGTTGTTGTTGTTTGTTGTTGTTGTTTGTTGCCGTCGTCCCGCCCGCAACCCGCCCCGCGACCCACCCGCGACCCACCCCGCGACCCACCCCGCGACCCACCCGCGACCCACCCGCGACCCACCCGCGACCCACCGCGACCCCGCGACCCACCCCGCGACCCGCGACCCACCCCGCGACCCCCCCGCGGCCCACCCCGCGACCCACCCGCGACCCACCCGCGACCCACCCGCGACCCACCCGCGACCCACCCGCGACCTACCCCGCGACCCACCCGCGACCCACCTTCGACCCAAACCACGTTCAAGGTACAAACCACAATTTTCGGCGCCTGCGGCGGGCTTTTTTGCATTCCTTCCAGGCGGAGAGCCCGCGACCCACCCCGTGACCAACTCGCAACCAACCCGCGACCCAAACCACGTTCAGGGTACAAACCACATTTTTCGGCGCCTGCGGCGGGCATCTTTTGCATTCGTTTCAGGTGGACAGCCCGCGGCCCATCCGCGACCACGTTCAGGGTACAAACCACATTTTTCGGCGCCTGCGGCGGGCATATTTTGCATTCGCTCCCGGTGGAGAACCCGCGGCCCACCCGCGACCCAAACCATGTTCGGTGTACAAACCAATTTTGTTGGCGCCTGCGGCGGGCATCTTTTGCATTCCTTCCAGGTGGAGGTGGAGAGCCCGCGACCCACCCGCGACCTAAACCACGTTCACTGAACAAACCAATGCCGCACAAGCGCGGCGGAATTGTGCATGCCGTCTGAGTCCGCAAGGACCTCTTCAAACCCCGCGCATCCACACCAGCCCGTCCAGCAACTCTGCCCTGACGAGTTGCCTTGATCAGAGAAGGCGGGGAGCATAAAGTGGACAAAAAAGATTGCGTTGCAGTTATCTTGGGAAAGGAAGGGGAGGCAGGAGGAGTAAACAAGGGACGAGGAGATCGCGGAAGAAGAGAGGATGTAAGGAGAATGTGGAGAAAAAAAGGAGGAGCAGCAGGAGGACGAGGAGGGGGAGGAGGGGGAGGAGGGGGAGGAGGAGGACGAGGAGGGGGAGGAAGGGGAGGATGATGATGATGGACGACAATGGGAGGACGATGATGGAGGCCGATGAGGGGGAGGACGACAGTGGGAGGACGATGATGAAAGGACGAGGGGGGGAGAGGGAGGACGAGGAAGAAGAGGAGGAGGAGGACGAGGTGGAGGAGGAGGATGACGATGACGATGAGGACGAGGACGAGGAAGAGGGGGAGGAGGAGGAGGAGGAGGAGGAGGAGGAGAGCGCCATCGACAGGGAAGGTGGGGGCCACGAGGTCAGCCGGCTCGACGACGCCCGCGTCGCCCGCGCCCGCCCCCTCACTCTTATCCGCAATTGCGGGGTGCTACGTATAGTTAACGACGCTGGGCGCACGAATGTAGGTGGCATTCTCGCAAAATGTTCTCAAGTGGGTGCGTATGCTCAGTGCGTGGTCAAAGATAGTTTTGCTCGTGGGGGGGTTCTGGAAGTGCCCCGCGAGTTTAGACAAGTCCGGGGACTGTTGGATCTCGCGCCAGACAGTTTGCAGTTTCGGCTTAGATCAGGAGAACCGTCAGAGGGTGGTGAGGGAGACTGAGCGAGATGGTGAACGCGCCCGCGCGGCCCCCGACCGCGCCCCTGTCATCTGGGTTGGCGACTCTAGCACGAGCGAGGCCCCACCGGCGCCGTCGGTGCCAGCGGACACGTTCCATCCGAACGTCGGCTACCGCGCGCCGCGCGCGGCGCGCAGGGAGAGGTCGGGTCTGGCAGGGGCTGCCCTCGAAAATGGTTGGGATACAACAAGACGGCCCTGGTCATCGTAGCCGAGCTAATGACCCGACTAACATCGTCGACCGCGTCTTCCCCTCGATTCCAGGGTGGGGGCTTATTCAGTTGAGTGCCTTGGGACTCGCTAAAAATCAGGTCGAAGTCTCACGCCATCTCGAGCTCTCGGATCACGCCCCAGTCTCCGCGGGCTTCGAGTGAGCCCAGAGGATTTCGACCCAGGACCGCCCGATTTCCAAGGAGCCCTTCGCCACCCCTTATTTCCAAGACTTCGTGCGAGCGCGCGTGGAGGCCGTGTCTTGGGACGAGCTTGCGCCGCCGCTGAAGATAGATCTGTCTATGCGTCTCATGGCGGAAGGTGCCCAGTTTGCCAGGAAAGCCGCTCTGCGCATCGAGGGGCACGGCCGTCTGGGCCGCGCTATTCTCCATTGCTCAGCGGCGAGAGCTGTCTGGAGACAGCACAGGAAGCTTGGCGCCATCACCTGCGCGGAGTCTCCTGCAGGTAGACCCCGCCGCCGGCGTGCCCTCGCTTGGCGACCCAGAGCGCCTCGCCAGAGAGCTAGATCAGTTGCGGGCGGGCGATCTCGAAGCCCGAAAGACGACGCTAACGAGCGCGATGAACGACGATACGCCTGAGAGAATGCGACGAAGGCAGGCGACGAGAACAGGTCCGACGATTGCAGAAACTCGCGTCGATCGGGGCTCCGTTCGACCGACGTCTGACGCCGACGGGCACTCGGCTTCCCTCCAGCGAATTTGCGGCCCAGCCCGACAAGACGCCGAGGGAGATCTGCAGTTACTCGGGCCCCGTCTACGGCAAGGAGCAGGCCCTCCAAGGTTCGGCCGAAGCTCGCCCCGGGAGGTCCGGGCGCCAGATGGACTTCGCGGACTGACCCCCACCCGCTCTCCCTGGAATGCGCGCCCGCCTGCGGAAGCTTGAAGACTGCGCCCCTGGCCCAAATCGTCTTCTATACGCCGCGCAGCGGCGCGGACCGATGGCGGCCGAACTTATTGATCGGCGAACGTCTGCGGTGGATGCGCGATGGGAACTCGCCGACGTCGTCGTTCAACGCCGCCGCGGGAATATTCACACCGCAAGGAGAGGAGGAGGGGGGCGCGACGAGGGCGGCGCGCGATGCGCAATCGCTGCTGTCGCTCGGTCTCTTCAGGATCCGGGAACAAGCTTCTAGCGGGTGCTGTCGCCCGGCCCCTTTCAGTTCTTGCTGTCGCCCGGCCTCATTCAACGGGCAGGCTGCCCGTTGCGTCGAAGGGTTACGGTTGACTTGCAGCTCGGCGACGACATGGTAAAAATTGGACACATGTGCCAGGACCGCTTCTATGCCGGAACGGCATCCTCCGATTTGGCAGCGGCCCTGTCCCACGACTTCCCCCAGGCCTCCCCTTCCGTCTCTCACGACTGGCTCCAACGCGTGCTTCGATCTTTCTCCCTGCCTGCCCTTATCCTGCGGTTCTCCGCCATCCTATATACGAATGCCCAGTGCTACGGTGTGCTCGGCGGTCAGATGCCTTGGGTTTTTCTCGATCTGGTCTGGCAGTATTCGGGGCTGCCCTGCGAGCGGGGCCCTTTTCGCTGAGGCGCCCAACACGATTTTGCTCGACGTTCACTAGTGCTTTATTGACGAGCATCGACGAGTGATGTTGGCCTGCGCTGACGATCTGGGAGCAGCAATCTTAAAGCTGACATGTCTCACAGTCCTATACCGCGAACTCCGCATGGCCAGCTGCTGGCCGCGCTCATTCTGAAAGAAATGCACGTGCGATATCAATCCCCTGGCTGACGCCTTCTCCCCTGGGCTTGCTGACAAGTATGCTGCTGCGGTCGCATCTCTGGTGCCAGCTTGAGCTGAATTCGTGATTGTGCCGAACCTCAATTACCCCAGGATGGGGGCGGGCCCCAAGTCGCACGTCAACCTGGACCGCCCCGAGGAGCCAGCACCGCCACCGCGGCAACATGATGGCATCAGGTGCTAATGCCCCGACCGGAGCGACGGCCAACCCGCATGCGCATCGGTGTGCGACTACCCCATCGCACGCTGCCCAGCACTGCCCGCCCCCCGCAGAGCTGCTGGCGCAGGAGACGGCGATTCCGGCACGTGTGTTCAAGTTCCCTCATTGTGCGTTGAGTCGGGCGGGATGGTTCTCGATGGTCTACTGGGGTGGCCCCGAGGCCCCGTCCGCCACTGTCCAGTCGCATGCTACGAACGCCAGAGTTGACTCCTCGACCGTTGCGGACGCGTGGCCGCGCATGTACCGCAAGCTGCTAGATTGAGCCGATCTCGCTCTGCCTGTCGCTGCCATCTGCAGAGGACGCTTGTGGCCAGAGTTTTGGGGAGATCCATCTTACTGCCAAGTCTTGAGGGCCGCGTCTCTTGGGTTTCTTGACGATCGGGAACACACTCTGATGGCTCCTGGGCCGGCAGAACTTCGAGGCCTTCTCGAGACCCAGCAATTTGGGCCCGCGAGGGCCGTAGGGTAAAGCGTTAGAACCCAGAGGACTCTCCCGAATGCATTCACGGCGGCCCGATCCCCGAGCGAGGCTCCAGGCAATTGTTCGTACGTAGACTTCATCGCTGGCTTCCTGCACCCGGATTTCCCGAGCGGGTTCGTACAATCGAGTGGCCCCTGGTCAGCAGTGCCATGGTCAAGTTGAAATCAGCCCACGTGTTTGCTTTGATTAGGACCCTTTTCGCGTGCCTGGCTCACTCAGCATCGATTCCAAAAGGCGGATTACACATGTTGTTTCGGCTGTGCACCCCCTGACCCTCTTGACCATTACTGGCGCTGCCCTCCCATGCCCGCGTTTGTCTCTGCTGTCCTTGGTCCTGGGGGCGTCGAGGAGGGGTGGGACGGTCTTGAGAAGCTGGACATCGAGGCTCCAAGCAGACCTTGGCTTGGTGTTCCTGTATGCTACGCTTGTCTTCTCACGAAGGCTCGTGCACGCAAAGCCCAGGTCGGGCGACCGCTCCTCCAACGCGAGGCGAAGGACCTCATCCCTGCTGTCAGCGCCCAGACGAGGCGCTAGGCGCATCGGCCGCCGGCGGCACGGAGGATGACTGCGGGCGCGCCACCTGCCCGCGCGCGAGGAGGCTGAGGAGGAGGAGAAGAAGAGTAAGAATGAAGGGGGCGGAGAAAGGACCAGGAGGAGGAGCAATCTAAGGGCGAGAAGGGATGCTGTTGGGAGCGGACTGGGGGGAGGATGAGCAGGAATGACAGGAAGAGGGACGCAAGGAGGGAGGAGGGGGGAGGAAGAGGATGAGCAGTTGGAGGGGGGAAGGAGTAGCCGGGAGGATAGAGGGGTGACGAGGAGGAGGAAATGAGGAAGGGGAGGCGGAGGAGAAGGATTCGAAGTAATGCTATATGGGTCTGGGGCGCAGTAACCCAGTTGGTGGGCCAGTTGGCGCGAGGAGGGGGAGGAGGAGGAAGCAGAAGAAGTGGAGCACGAAGAGGGGGGGGCGGGAGTGAGGCATGGAGGAGGAGGAGGAGGAGGAGGAGGAGGAGGAGGAGGAGGAGGAGGGGGCAATAATCTGTCGCGTATCAACGATACTGCAGTACATTGCTCCCCCCCCGCACACACACACACACACACACACACACACACACACACGCTCATCATACGTCCCTGCATGAGCTCCTTGTCACTACGAGAAGCCCCTCCCCCCTCCCGTGATAAACAGAATCCCCATGGGCCTGTCATCCAAGCGAGAGCCCCGCTTCGATTGGGAACCGCCAGTGATTTCCTAGTCAGCTCATGGCCTTTGGCCCGTCCCGCCAGTCTGGGGCCTGCTTTGGGGCCTTATTCGGGGTCCTTGGGAGGCCTTTTGGGGGGGGGGGGGGGGGGGGGGGGGGGCTCGTTTTTCCTCTAGGAGGCCTCTTGGGGGCCCGCTGGCGGTCTCGGGGTCGTCTTGAGGCAGGCAAGGTCGAAGTGCCAGTTCATGTTCCCCTTTGGGGGCCGCCTTGGGGGGCCTCGTAGGCCGTCTTGGGGCCCTCTTGAGCCGTCTTTGGGCTCTCTTGGGGGCCTCGTGGGCACTCAATGGGCGACGTCGGAGGTCCCATGGCCAGTCCTACGGCGTTCGAAGCCCGAACAACAAAAACGTCCGCGAACCTTGGGAAACTCAATGGTGGGCTGGTCCGGGAGCCTTGGTGTCCTTTTGGTCAGTGTTTTAGGCTTTGGGCCTCAGGAAAAGTCACAAGGGAAATTTACAATCCATGCGACAGACCCCAAAATGCATGCACCACGCCCCGTGAGTTGGGGGTATGAGGTATGGGCCCTTGAACAATACATAGAGACAACCAACGATGCTTTGTGAGGCCGCTTGAAGACGTGAGGACACTCCACTGCATGCCGAAGGAAGGGTGGCGGATATGAAGCGCAAAGGGTATACCACAGCGTTCTAGGGCCCATCCGGAACCTATTTTGAAGGAAAAACGCCCTCCAATCGTGCAACAGCTAGGAAGTGTGGCAGACAGGTGTGAGTCGATGCCGGCCGACTTCCCAACGTTCTTGACTGGTCACTAATAACATGTTTGTGGTTGCGACCGCTTGTGGCTTTGATCGCACGGTCTAAGCTGGCTTCGAGGCTGGTGCCGAAAAGTGCGAGACACACGGGGAGGAGCAGGAGGAGGAGGAGGAGGAGGAGGAGAAGGAGGAGCAGCAGCAGCAGCAGCAGCAGCACGACGACGTTGATACGGAGGGAGGGGAGGAAGAGGGCGAAGGGGAGGGGGGGAAGGATGAGCAGGACGGGGGGAGGGAACAAAATAAGAAAGGTGGAATCTGGATCGGCCTACATCCAAGGGCCGAGGTTGGGCAGTATGAGAATTAGAGTTGGGGGATAAGGAGGGGGAAGGAGGACGCGGAGACAGAGGAGAGGAAGAAAGCGGATAAGGAAGAGGAGGAGGAGGAATTTTTGATTGTTCGGTTGTCTCCCCTCCTTGCCCCCGCTCGTTTTGCAGCCAGCGCCAGGCCTGTTGCCGCTGCCCCGAAATTGAGATCAGGAACGAACGAGCGAAGCCATACGCCGTTTGGCGCGTGGGCAGGAAAAGTGCGTATGCCAATGAAAAAGAAGAGGGGGCGCATCACGATTGTGACGCATCACGACTGTGACTTTGACGAGGACAGGAAGCAACAGAAGTAGCAGGAGGCTGGCGAGGAGAGACGATAGTGACTTGGAGGAGGAGTAGGAGGAGAAGGAAGGGAAAGGGAACGAATATGAGAAGGAGGAGAAGGGAGAATGAGGCGACGGGGGAGAAAGAGGATGAGGATGAGAATGAGGATGGACGACGGACACCAGGGAAAACGGTTAAGGAGGAGGAAGGGGATGGCAGAGGATGGGCGACGAGCACCCGGAGGAGGAGGAGAAGGAGGAGGAGGAGGTTCAGTGCGCTCGAGAAACTCGGGGGGGGGGGAGCGTACGCCGGCGTACAGACTGGCCTTGCATTCGACGGAGAAGAAGAAAAAGGAGGACAGGGCGGAGGATGAGGAGGGAGGGGGAGGGTGGAACAGTGGGAGGTCACGACCACGTTCGCCGGGAACGAGTACCACGGCATAGTCAAGACGAGCTCGTTGGGCCAGAGGTACTTCGAGGGCCAGGACTGCAGGCCAGCGGGAACCGCACTTGTTCTCTTTCCCAGCAAGAGGACGAGGAGGATGCAGAAGGCTGACTAGGTGAGGGAGAGGGAGGGGGCTGAGCAGGACGAGGGAGAGGAAAGGAGCATGAGGAAGAGGAGGGAAGACCAGAGTAAACCCACGGTATGTCGACGACGCTGCAATGCACCTCTCCGTCCCCATGTTCCATCCTTGATCGCCCTTGCAAGCATTGTGTGCCACTGCGCCCAGCGCCCCCCTGAAGAGACGAGCGCACCGTGGGCCTGCAGTGCTGACGGGAGCTCTAGTCTGAAAGAGACGCCCTTCCGTCTTTGAGAAATGAACCGCGCTCCATTCGTGTAACTGGTGTGCACGTCCCTCATGTTTGGCAACGACCTCTAACGATAAAGTCCAAAGCGACATCCTGAGTTTGAAAATGAGCCGCCCTCCATCCGTGCACGTGCTGTGATGAATGTGTGGCAAGGCTCACGGGAGATCCCCAGTTTGACAGCGATTCGCCCCAAATCAGTGTGATTGTTGGATATGTTTGCGACGAGTGGGCGCGGCACAAAGACAAGAGCCCCAGCTTGAAAATGTTTCCGTCTTCAATCGTGTAGTGTCTGGATATGGTTAAGACGAGTAAGCGCGGTGCGCCTGCGATTGTCCCATTTCGAACATGATTCGCCTTTCACCCGCGTAACTGTTGGACATGGTTGAGAAAAGCGCGTGGCGCCAAGGCAGGCAGGCAGTTCGATTGAGTCAAAACTCGGGCCAGCAACGGGCGCGAGTGTGTTGGTCAGCATCGGGTCTGACTGTCTTGGACCCCGGGTGAAAAACGCACGAAGATTTCTCTGTGCTGGTGGTCGGTTCCACATGAATCATCCGAACATTTGCGCAAAACGTCATCCCATCTTATCGCGGATCGTCCATGTGATCACCCAGCCCACGGAATTATCGTCGGTGGGCACCGCCGCGATACTCTTGTAGGCCAGCTATCCGGCAAAATACCTTCTCCGTGAGCCAACTGGCATTGCTGTTGTAGTAGATGGACCCCCCAAGCTTCCGTTGTGCACGTAGTAAGAACCGCATCGATGTTCAGCCTCACCCCCCGCATTGTGTCAGGTCAGGGCTCGTCTTCAAGACGAGTCCAGGCAACGATTTTCCGAAGCATCCTCGGCCGTACAACATCTAGGGAGCTCAATTGTGCTCATGCCATCGCGCAAAATGGAAGGCCACGCCATATCGTAGGCGTGGCTACGCCATAGAAAAGCGTTACTCGGGAGCAGATGTTTTTTAATTGCTTGCCCACTAGAATGTCATGGTGCTTGTGGACTCTCACCCAGCCAGCTCGAATTAGAATACCAACTTCAGACGAACTCCTCGAACGTGAATTGCCGCACAACTTCCTCCCCATTTTTTGGGGGCATGACACCATTCAGGACGCCTACGCGCTCCCCTCGAATGCCCAGCGAACCCACACCGCGGTCGCACAGTATCGTTGGCCCTCATGCTGAACCCTACATGCACACGCACCTCGTCGAGCGCGGTGGCCATCAAGCAGATCATCTTGATAAACACAGTCGCAAGCTAGTCTTCGAAGCTTGCATGTGCAAGCTTCTGTGAGCGGCGCCAAGGCGCGAGCCCCAGTTTGTAATACAACAGCTAATGATACAAAAGAGAAAACGCCCTCCATCCGTAAGCAGAGATCTCGAGCGTCAAGATCGCACACGGCGTGCATACTATACAGCGGAACGCCCAGCCCGCCGTACGGACACGCCTGGTGGTGCGACAGGGAGGGGCAGTTGATAAGGAAGGAGGATGGAAGGGAAGGATGATGATTCCTTCCTCCCCCTCTCCTCCCCCTGACTGTTTCTGCCATGACCCGTCTTGAGAAAGCACTTGTGGCTTGTTCCCTCCCTCCCCTCCTCCTCCTCCCCGCCCTCTTGCTCATACTCCACTCCGTCTCCGCTCCGCCCCCCCCTCCCTCCCTGTTTCCCTCACTCCCTCCCTCTTCCTCTTCCCTCACGGGAGGCGGGGGAGGACGAGAAGGAGGAGGAGGGGAAGTTGGAGGAGGAAGAGCAGCAGCAATTGGCAGAGTTTGAAGATAGATATTGCCACGCACAGGAGGAGAGGGAGAGGCAGGAGAAGGGGGAGAGGGGGGGGGAGGAGGAGGAGGAGGAGGAGGAGGAGGAGGAAATGAAGAGCAGGCTGAGGTCCCAGAGAGGCACTGGGAGCACACAGGAGCCGAAGGATGTGGGAGAGGAAGTGGAAGAACAGTGGGAAATGAGGAAGGGGATGTGGTGGAGGAGGCGGGTGAAGAAAAGCATGGGGAGGAGTACCGTTTTCCCGTGACCACAACTCGGCGAGTGACTCGCAACGGCGCTGCGTGCTTGGACGACCAGGCCTTCAAAATCCGAGCCAAGACAACCTGGCCAGAGAGAACGACAGACCACCGCCGCCCCTTGCCACCAGCCACCCAGGTCGGGGACACTGGTAACAGTCAGGCAAGGCTCGGGACGGTCTGCCCGGGCAGGCCACGGCCCCGTGGAAGCTCCGCCGAGAGCAGAGCTCAGACGTCGAGGTCGGCGAGCCCGTGCACCAGCACCTCAGGGCGCGGCAGCTCGCGAGGTGCGGCGCAAGAGCTGGGTCCGTTCGTCGTCCCAGCATGCAGCCTCCACGCTTGCCCGAGCCGGAAGATGTAGCCACGGTTCCCAGAGAGGATTATTGCATACGCACAGGAGGAGGTCAGGGAGGTTTTCGTTGGAGGAGGAGGGGCATGGCTTTGGTGTGTTAGCACATCCTCGAGCGCGCGCTGAGGGGCCAGTGTCTGCAATTCGCCATGCCTAACCGCGGCGACGGGGATAAGAAGTGTGATGAGGATTGGCACCCTTCCCGTGGAAGCTGGATCTCCAGGACCACGTCGTCTTCAGCTTCACATTGCTTCAGGACGTTCGTGTTGTCGCCAACCTTGGGCCAACCAGGGGCAGAAACAGGAAGGATTAGACGCCAATGCTGTGCAGGGCTTGCCTACTCGCCAACAGACTTGATCGTTGTTCGGCGTCGCATGCCTTGCAATATCTCTACGGGTACGACGATGACGAGTGGGGGAGGAGAAGAGGTTGCAGTTCTCCACGCCAGGCGAATATGTATTTGAACGCATGGACCTGCGTGACATGATATTTCTCTGCACCTCCCACGAGCCCACGACAGTGGCAACAGTTGCGAAGTTGGCAGCCTCACAGGAAGCCGCGAGATCTCGCCTGCCTACAGCCTCCCTTGGAACTCCCATGAGCCCCTCTCGCCTGCATACCGCCTCTGCTGGACCTCCCAGGAGCCCACAAAAGTGGAGACAAGTGCCAATCTCGCAGCCTCCCAGGAGCCCACGAACTTGGCGACATGTGCGAAGTTGGCAACCTCCCAGAGAGCCGCGAGGTCTCGCCTGCCTACCGCCTCCGCCCGCCTCCGCTGGACCTCCCAGGAGCCCACAACAGTGGCGACAGTTGTGCAGTTCGCAGTCCCCGTGGGAGCGCACAAGATGCAGGACGAGGTAGGCGGATGAGGAGGCAGGAAGGGGAAAGAGGTGGGAGGAGGGACGGAAGGAAGGAAGGAACTAAGGAAATAGACGCGCAAGCAGCGCCCTATTCGAAACGAGAACCAACACATGAGGGTTGGGCAATAATGGAAAAACGGGTAGCATGAGGAGGAGGAGGAGGAAGAGGAGGCGGAGGAGGAGGAGGAGGAGGAGGAGAAGGAGAAGGCGAAGGAGAAGGAGGCGAAGGAGGAAGAAGAAATGGGAGAAGGAATGGAGGAAGTGGGGGAGAAAGACTTGGGAGGAGGAGCAGACAGAGGAGGACGAGGAGGAGGAAAAGGCGCCCCAAAGAGGTACACGTGGACCTCCGGGGTGAAGTACGAGGGGCCCTTCGTGAGCAGCAGGGCGGAGGGCCAGGGCAAGCTCTCCTGGCCCGACGGGCCGACGCCTCGGTGCCCGGGCGACCGCGGGGACGATCGCGCCACCCGAAGTGTCGCGGCGGGCCCGCCAGCCGAAGGTCGGCGAAAGGCGGCGGCAGGAAAAGGCAGACGCCAACATGATTTGGTTCAGGGCTTCCGTGCTCTGACACGTGACCTGGTCGCGCCTCTGATCGTGCCTGCCTGCGGCAGGTTCAGGCGCGCGCCGCGTCGACGCTGCTGCGACGCCTGCGCGGGCGCTCAGAGTTGGGCGCTCAGAGTTGGTCAGCCTTGAACGATGGATCTCCGCTCTCGGATGCCGGAGATCGATAATTCTTGAGTGATCTCTACGCGGTGTCTCACACACCAACGTCCGCGTCGTCACGACGGGAACCGGCCGTACACATGTCACCTCCCCCTCGATCACCCACTTTGGTTTGCCGCCGATGCCCTGGATGATCGCCGCTTGCTGGTCACGTTGTCGACGGACGCCTTGGTGGATGCACACCTGCCAGTGGTTTCTCCCAGACGATCCAAGCACCGCGGAGCGACCATACGGTCGATAAGAGAAGAGGGAGAAAGGAGAGGAGTTGGAGTGGTACGTTTTCGGGTCGCGCATGGAGAGCCCTCCCTGGTAGTATCGGTTGGCCTCAACAGGCCCCCCGAGTAGCCCGGGGCGATCTCAACACCTCAACCCTGGGGCGCGGAGCGCCCCAGGGGCGCCGATGGAGGCGCCGCCGGGGTGTTGAGCCCGCCCCGGACTACTCGGGGGGCCTGTTGAGGCCAGCTGGGACTACAAGGGGGGCTGCTTGTGCGCTACACGCAGCCTCATCAGAGGGACAGAGGAGAGGAGGGAGAGTGGGAGAGAGAAGGGAACGGAGAGGAGGAACAACACACTCCTCTGCTAGCCCGGCCGCGTCGCGCCTCGACCTCGGCGCGTGCCTTGGCGGCCGTCTGCTGCGGCGGGCGCCCAGCCATCGCATGGCCTCGCCGTGATGCGGGGGCCTCGTGCAGCCACGGAGGAGACCTCAGTGGCGCACTACCACGGAAGAGGGCCGTCGGCGTGGGGCTTGCGCAAAACACTCCACTTGGCAGCGTCGAAAACCTGGAGAGCGAAGAGACCCTCGGGGACGGAAGAGCTCTGGGGGCTCCCCTGAAGCGCTTCGAAAGCGCTGCCAGGCACGCCTCCATGCGTGCCTGCACGCGTGCAGGCACGCGTGGACGCGTGCCGGAAGCGCTCCCGGACGGGCTGCCGGCACGGGCGAGTCGCTGCGAGGATCGTGGAGCGGCGAAGATGGGCTGCTGCCGGGCACCACCACCGTCCGGCTTCTAATCTAAAACCCTCTAGCTCTCAGAGAGCTCTCCGGGAACATACAACAAAGACACACACACACACGCACACGTCATGGCGTCGCGGCCACGGGGGCGGCGGTGCGAGGGGGTAGTCGCGGGGGTGAATGTGGTGGCGGGGCGAAGGGCAATCCGGGGGCGGGGAGAGCCATGGTTAGTAATAGGCACAGAAGGCAGAGACGGAACAGTGGCAGGCCGAGGCCGGCAAAACGTGGCGCAACAACGGCCAGACTGCAACGGCAGACACACATTCATACGAAGTTACGGCAGCGGCCGCGGCTTGCGGGCACAATAACAGCCGAAAGCATTCACACCGAAAGAAAGACTCGAAACCAACGCAACAGCAGCGCCAGCGACGACGTAGACAGCAAACCGCCCCAGCATGACTCACCTGCGACACCAGACCGGCACAGCGAGGACAGCGACGGAAGCGACAAAGATGATTGCATGCCAACACGGGTGGAATATATCAAATGATCCACGCGGATCGCAGAGTACCCCGTGGAGCATTACCACCTTGACAGCTGGCTGAGGACACAGACAAGGCATCAGCCAATTGACCATGGCACATGGCCTCGAAGGTCGCTAACCTCGACAGCACAAGTTTGATTTTGAATGTGTTGCGCTTGCAGTGAAAGCCTGGCGCCAACGCACGACACCAAGGCCAGCGACAACACGTAGCCCGGCCGAAACGATGGGACGACGATCTCAACGAATCATTGTGCCAACGACGTCCCGAGCAACACCCTCGAAGACGAACGAATTCCATAAATCTACACATACGCGCCTCTTGCATCGCCCCTGGTGCGCTCCGCGCGCCAGGGGACGGGTCCAGCGCAGATCGAAAAAATCCACGCAGACAGTTGACAGTTTGTGTTGATTCCTGGTTTCTTCTTCCACACTCACCGCAGGCGACCGCTTGAACAAAAGGGGCAGCCCAATGAGCTGATTGGGTCACGAGCAGCCAAAGATACACGACATGGTCGGCGCTCGAACATGATTATACAAACGCAGTTCTAAACGCACAAGACGACTAGACAACGCAGTAATCCGAGGGCAGACAACACTAACGCCGACATGCACGCCAACGGCTCGGCGGCCATTGAATACTAGCACCCCCACCACCGACTCGCCGACTGTAACATCCAGGACTGGCCCCCTCTCAGCGGTCTGTCTCGCAATTGTTTTATGTCGCGTGCGAAAGAGTCGCCAGCAGAATTCAGAGGCCGCGGCCTCGTCCACCTGTTTTATGTCGGCCTGGACGCGTGCCCGCAGTGGTGGCCGTGCGCTCGTCTCCACCCCTCTCCCGCCGCCTCATCCTTCCCCTCCTCATAACCCATCAGGGTCTTCAGATACCCCCCCCCCACTTGGGAGGGAACTGCGCATTTGATCGGCGACCTGATTGACGGACTGAGGTCCCACCAATAGCAGAAACTAATTATTCATCCAACGACGGCGACGAGATGAAAGAGGAGATTGTGAGCAACGCTTTTGGCAAATAGTATGGCGATCCATAGTGCAATCCTTTTTTACAAACGTGCTCAACATTCCTCTGTCGTGCAGAGTCGCCCAGCAAACATTGTTCCGCCGCCGCGACGACGACGACGCGTACGACTACGACTGCGATTACGACTAAGGCCCCGACTACAACAACTACAACGACGATTACGACTTCAACCACGACTACAGTCACGATGCCACTCGCGATAATAGCCACGGCTACAATCACAACTAGAACCACAACCATTGACTCATAGTGCAATCCACAAGAGCCGATGCTCACAAGTCGTCTCGCGTGCAAGGTAGCCCACAAACACCTGGGAGACAAAATCTCTCAACATGATGCGCCCCGCCAAAGCATAGGGTGAAAATGACTTCCGCCGAGACGACGACAACGGCGACCATACAGACAACGACCGCGATAGCCTCTCCGTGTTTCATCTTCTTGTGTCGCCTCGAGTAGTAGTAGTGGTGGTAGTAGCAGGTAGAGTCGCAGTAGTAGTAGCAGTAGTAGTATGAGTAGTAGTATGAGTAGTAGTAGTAGTAGTAGTAGCAGCAGCAGCAGCAGCAGTAGTAGTAGTAGTTACCATAGTAGTAGTAGTAGTAGTAGTAGTAGTAGTAGTAGTCGTAGTAGTAGTCGTAGTAGTAGTCGTAGTAGTAGTAGTGGTAGTAGTAGTAGTAGTAGTAGTAATAGTAGTATAGTGGCAGCAGCAGCAGCAGTAGTAGTAGTAGAAGAAGTAGTAGTAGTAGTAGTAGTAGTAGTAGTAGTAGTAGTAGTAGTAGTAGAGTAGTATTAGTAGCAGTAGTAGTAGCAAGAGTAGTAGTGGTAGTAGCCGTAGTAGTAGGAGTAGTAGCAGTAGTAGTAGTGGTAGAAGAAGTAGTAGTAGTAATCGTGGCAGTAGTAGTACGAGTAATAGTAATGGTAGTAGTCGTAGTAGTAGCAGTAGTAGTAGTAGTAGTAGTAGTAGTAGTCGCAGTCGTGGTAGTAGTAATGGTGGTGGTAGTGGTAGTAGTCATATAGTAGTAGTAGAGGCAGTAGTAGTATTAGTAGCAGTAGCAGTAGCAGTAGCAGTAGTAGCAGTAGTAGTCGTAGTCGTAGTAGTAGTAGTAGTAGTAGCAGTAGTAGTAGTAGTAGTAGTAGTAGTAGTAGTAGTGGTAGTAGTAGTAGTAGTAGTCGGTAGCAGTAGTAGTAGTAGTAGTAGTAGTAGCAGTAGTAGTAGTAGCAGTAGTAGTAGTAGTAGCAGCAGTAGTAGTAGTAGTAGAGGTGGTGGTGGTAGTAGTAGCCGTAGAATTGCTAGCAGTAACAGTCGTAGAAGTAGTAGTAGTAGTAGTAGTAGTAGTAGCAGGAGTAGCAGTAGTAGTAGTAGCAGTAGTAGAAGAAGAAGTAGTAGTAGCAGTAGTAGTAGTAGTAGCAGAAGAGGTCGTAGTCGTAGTCGTCGTCGTCGTAGTAGTAGTAGTTGTTCTAGTCGTAGCCGTGGTAGCTGTTGTAGTCGTAGTCGAAGTCGCAGTAGTAACCGTAGTAGTAGTAGTAGTAGTAGTAGTAGTAGTAGTAGTAGTAGTAGTAGTAGCAATACTAGTAGTAGTAGTAGTAGTAGTAGTAGTAGTAGTAGTAGTAGTAGTAGTAGTGGTGGAAGTAGCAGTAATCGTAGTAATAGTCGTACTACTATAAGTAGTAGTAGTGGTCAAATAGCAGTGGTAGCAGTACTTGTAGTAGTCGTGGTTCGTGTTGGTGCTGTTGTTGTTCGTGTCGTCGTTGTTGGACTGCAAGGTAGTAGTGGCAGTGGCAGTAGTAGTAGTAGTAGCAGAGTAGGCGGACTAGGAGTAGGTGTAAGAGTTGGTGCAGGAGTGGGAGTAGATGTAGTAGCTGTCGTATTAGGAATAGTTATTGTTGGTGGCGAATGTGTAGTAGTAGCAGTAGTAGTCGTCGTCTCAGTAGTACTCGTTCTAGTAGTAGTACTACTACGAGTCCTAACACTACTATTACTACTACTACAACTACTACTACTACTACTACTACTACTACTACTACTACGAGCAGTGGCAGGAGTAGTAGTAGCACGAGTAGCAGCACTAGTAGTCGTAGTACTACAACTACTACTACTACTTCTACTACTACTACTACTACTACTACTACTACTACTACTACTACTACTACCACTACTACGAGCAGTGGC